CTGCCTTCAGTAGGCAAGGAGAGGCCTCCACCAAAAAGAGGGGTCAGATCATGGTTCACTATTCTTTTACCATAAGAAACAAAATGAAGCTAGACTCAGTGGTTTACACCTGCAATTCCAGCACTCAGGTCAAGGCACGAGGATTGACATGAATTTGAGGTCATCCTAGACTACATAGTAGGATCTAGGCTAACCTGTGCTACAGAGTGAGACTGTCTCAAACAACAAATGCACAACATTCTTTTTTTCTCTTTATTCTATGTGACTTTTATATCGTGAATTTTGGTCCCATTCATTTCCTTGTCCCTTCGCATCCACTCACCACCTCTGTACCCCCTCTCAAATAAATCAAATTTTAAGAAAAGGGAAAAAAGGAAGAAAATTAAGAATCTCATCATGGAAGCGGCTGTGTGACACAGTGAGTCACACAGTAAACCCTTTGGTCCACATGTCTTTACTTGCAAGTGTTCATTGCAAAGAGTCATGGTCCGGTTCGAGGCCTCTGGTTTCTGCTATACTATCGATGCTGGACCCTCACTGGGGCTCCTCTTGGATATCCTGTTGTTGCCCTGTGTCCTGGAGATACTGCAGCTTTGGATCTGCGGGTCTGGTCCCTTCACGTGCTTCAGCAGATCGTAGATGGGGTGGATGGTGGGGCTGGTCATGACCCTGGTTCTGGGCCTGGGTGGCTGCAGGGTTTATCAGCCTGCCAGCTCACCCTTGTCCTCACCACCAGGATGAACTCTCCAGAATTGCCCCAGCTAATTCCCCTCTTGCAGCAGTCAGGGGCGGGGCCAGTTCTCCTGCTTCCATGTCCTCAGGGTCTGCTCTTCCACACCTACACCTTCAGGGCCAGCTCTACTGTGTTGCCCTTGGGAGGCACAGGGGCCATTCTTCCCAGTGCTGCAGCTGGTGAGGGGTAGGGGCCGCTCTCAGGCTCTTCCGACCTAATGACCAGCTCCTCCACCTGTCTCAGGTGTTGATGGGTGGGAGTGGGGCATCTCCTCTGCCCATGCTGCCATATGTCAGGCGAGTAATGGGGACAGCTGTCCTTTGCTGTCACCCTTACCTCCAAATACCCGGCCAGCTTTGCTGTGCTGACTAGGCGAGGAGCGGGGCCTGCTTTCCTGAATGCTGCAGCTGGTGAGGGGTGAGGGTCAGCTTTAGACTGTTGCAGGCTATGGGAAAGGGGGGCATCTCTTCCCTACCCACACTGCCGCATGACAGACAAGGGGCACATTCTTGAGCTTCTGCCTGATTTCTGCCAGCTCCACTTAGTGTGGCACCTGTCACCCGTTACTAATAGGCTAGCTTATGGCTTTATATTTCTTCACATTTATTAAAAATGTTTTTATTCTTTGACAATTTTAAACATGTATGCAATGTATCTTTCTGAAACCCCATTTTATTTATTTTATGTGTCTGGGGCCAGCAAAGATCAGATCTCCTGAAACTGGAATTACAGGCAGTTGTAAACTGCCATGTAGGTACTGGGAACTGAACCATCTTCTCTGCAGGTGTGGCAAGTGCTCTTACCCTCTAAACCATCTCTCCAGCCCCCCTAAGCAATGTCAGTGTATCTTGATCATATCCACCTTTCTCAACTTATAGAAGCCACTTCCAAGAAGCATGTAGAAATGCCCCTAAAAATGATTGAAAGAGAATCATCCAAAATCATCCACATACTTCCAGATAAGGAAAATTTTCTTTTTTTTTTTTTTTGGTTTTTTCGAGACAGGGTTTCTCTGTGGCTTTGGAGGCTGTCCTGGAACTCGCTTGGTAGTCCAGGCTGGTCTCGAACTCACAGAGATCTGCCTGCCTCTGCCTCCTGAGTGCTGGGATTAAAGGCGTGCGCCACCAACGCCTGGCTGATAAGGAAAATTTTCAAGAGAGTGGCTCAGCATGTCCCATGCCTCAGAGAGGTTAAGGAAGACAAGAAGTGTGAAGTTGGAGCTGGGCGCTGGTAGCACATGCCTTTAATTCCAACACTCGGGAGGCAGAGGCAGGAGGATTTCTGTGAGTTCGAGGCCAGCCTGGTCTACAGAGTAAGTTCCAGGACAGCCTCCAAAGCCACAGAGAAACCCTGTCTTGAAAAACCAAAAAAAAAGTATGAAGTTGTCATTGGATTTGGCAGTGTTCGGGTATTTGTAAACTGGGAAGAGGGAAACCATGTCATAGTGACGAGTGAATGACAAGTGGGAAGTAGACATGGGGCAAATAGATCAGAAGAGGTTAGAACTTGAGAAGAAACATCTAGGCACTCATCTAATTTTAGATGGTCATTGAAGCCATTGGCATGGATTCTGTCACTGAGCCAAAGAGAATAAAGCAGGGACAGAAATAGAGCTAAATTCCAGCCTGAAGAATTCTAACATTTCCTAAACCAATAAAAATGTGCCTCTACAAAGACACACAAGAAGTAACCATAGAGTAGGAGAAAAACCAAATATGCTGGTGCTACTTAATCCAAAAGAACATTTCAAGAAGTATAGTGGCTCAGACCTAAAATTGCAGCACTTGGAAGCAAGAAACAAGGGGGATGGAGAGTTCAAGGCTGTTCTTGGCTACATAGTAAATTTGAGGCCAGCCTGGGCTACAAAAATAAACAGTAGTAGTGGACAGAGCTGTGAATAAAGCTTAGTGGTGGAGCCAGTCAGCACTGGAAAAAGGGGAATGGCCTGCAGAGTTGAATGCAGGAGAAAACTCAATTATGATACTTGCAGAGAGCCACAGGATGTGGTGAATGCTAGACCAATAATGGCCAGCATTTTGGAAATCTTTAAGGTTGAGAATAGAGTCAGTTAGCATTTATAACTTGTTATAGAAGTCTGGCCATGAAATAAACAGGCAGATGGTGTTGATAAATGCTCGTTTGAAATATAAGGAACACTAAAGTATATTTAGTATTTGGACATCTAAGAGAAGGAATACCCGGGATAATAACCAATAATGGTGTAGGTTTCTGCAAAGGCAGTCAAAACAGAAGTGAAGGCAGAGATCAGGGGAGCTGACCTTAGGAAAAAGGCCACTCCCCAACCATAAACAATGAGTTGGCACTGCCAGCCTCCTCTCTGGCTGTTAGCAGCTGAGTAAACTCAGGGCAGTTCTCCCGTCCGCACCTCCCTCTGGTTGTTGCCTGGCCTGTCCGGTTCTGAGTCAAGTCCCCTTCCCCGCCCCTTCAAATTTCTTCTAGCAAGCATCTGCTGTTCACTATGTGCCAGTCATTGGAGACAAGGATGAAAAAAAAGTCCTTGTCCGTGAGTAACATTGTAACCGGAACTGGGAGTACCATGTAAGCAGGGTGGTGAGAGGATGAGATGATTTGGGAGTCTCCTGCCTGTAAGCTGCCAAGTGGAGCTGAGGAAAAACCCTAAACTGGATCAACTGGTTGAAACCACAGGAGGGCCCTTCCTCTCCCCAAGCAATTGTTTAGTGTTAGGAACTGATGTTTTCACAAAGTTGCCTTTGTTTCACTTCCTTTTTTTTTTTTGAGACAGGGTTTCTCTGTGGCTTTGGAGGCTGTCCTGGAACCAGCTCTTGTAGACCACGCGACCACACTGGTCTCGAACTCACAGAGATCCCCCTGCCTCTGCCTCCTGAGTGCTGGGATTAAAGGCATGCGCCACCAACGCCTGGCTGTTTCACTTCCTTTTAACTTTCTTAAGATTTAGTCTGGTGATGGTGGTCCACACTTTGAGTCTCACGTTCAGGAGGCAGAGGCGGGCAGGTCTCTGTGAGTTCAAGACCACCCTCGTCTACAGAGCGAGTTCCAGGACCGCCAAGGCTACATAGAGAAACCCTGGTGGGGGAGGGGCGGAGAGAGAAAAGAAAACTTTGTTAAGATTTGTTTTTCTACACTTTATTTTTTATTTTTATTTTTATTTTTTTGGTTTTACGAGACAGGGTTTCTCTGTATTGTTTTGGAGGCTGTCGGTCCAGCCTGGCCTCGAACTCACAGAGATCCGCCTGCCTCTGCCTCCTGAGTGCTGGGATTAAAGGCGTGCGCCACCAACGCCCGGCTACAGTTTATTTTTTATCTATGTGTGGCTACAGGGTCAGGGAGAAGTGTTAGATCCCCTGGGACTAGAACTACAGGTGGTATTGACCCACTCATTGTGGGTGCTGGCAATGGAATATGGGTCCTCTGCAAATAGTACCAATTCAGGCTAGGCATAGCGCACGCCTTTAACCCCAGCACTCGGGAGGCAGAGGCAGGTGGATCTCTGTGAGTATGAGGCCGGCCTGGTCTACAGAGTGAGTTCCTGACCAATCAGGATTAACGGTATGAGCCACCATGCCCCAAGCATTCGCGTTTAGGGATTTGAACCTGAGTTGTGTTCTGAAACGCACTCTGTAGACCAGGCTGGTCTCAAACTCACAGAGATCCGCCTGCCTCTGCCTCCGAGTGATGGGATTAAAGGCGTGTTCCACCAACGCCCGGGTATGCCTTTTTTAAAATTATTTTTTTAGTTCTTTCGGTTGTGTAGGTGTGTGTGTCTACACAGGGGATATGTGTATGTAAATCGTGAATGCAGATAGCTGTGGAAGCCAAAAGCATGTTATTCTCTGCAGCTGAAGTTACAGACGGTTGTGAGCCGACTAACACGGATGCTGGGAACCGAACTTGCGTTCTCTACTACAGTAGAGAACAACCCTCATCACCTTCTTCCCTTGCACCCGCCCACCCACCCTAAAGGCGTATTCCCAACCCTCAACCCCGCCCCTTGCGTTAAACTTCCTCCCAAAGAAGGGCGGAAGTCGCGGTGCGGCGCTCGGAAGTGACGGGAGCCCTCCCCCCACCCTCCTCCGAGTTGGTAATCCCTATCCCGTTTCCCGGGTTCTGCTAAGGGCTTTCGATAAGATGCTCCGCAAAGGCCAACTTCCACAGCCACGAAGGAGTTCCCGCAGGACGCTGACGATCACCTAGAGGAACACACTCACGGAAGCCGAGGCCTGAGAATTGTGTTTCGTATAAATCCCGCGCGAGTTCCCACGGCCCCATGGGAGCGGAGGGGCGGGGCTAGGATAGGCTCGGCGCGTCACCTCCTAAGCTCCACCTCTAGCTGAGGCTTCTAATCGTGTTCTTCCGGTTGCGGCCTCCTCTTCGTCTTCCTTTCGCCATCGTGCGTTGTACGCCTGAGTCGACTTCTCACCATGGTAAGACTATCGGCCGCCATCCGTTCCTAGGTGGCTTTCCCGAGTCCGGAGGCCGCTGTGGCTTTACGGTGCGCGTGCACAGCATCAAGGGGCGGATGCATTTTCAGGTTTTGGGTTTTCGTTTTTAATGGGAGTTAAGCCACCACTTGGGTCGCAGGTATGGCATTAAATGAGCAAGCCCGTTTATCCTCGCGGTTTCGCGCTGCTCATCTTGCAGTCTGGCGAGGGGTGCAGAGTATTCTTGCTTTGCTTAACCTTGAGCGCGCGGTTATCTGCATGTTTCTGGACAAAAAGAGAGGCTTGGCCCCTTGTAGATCACTGTTAATTGAATGCTAGCCTTCCCTTGGCGTGCACAAAGAGCACAGGGTCGGAAGGGAAACTTGCACAGTAACAGTTAACGGGACTTAATGAGATCTCTCTTCAGAGGCTCCACGTCACTCCGTGGAATCATCCATCTGCTTCGCGGCACATCAGTCATTGCCTGGAGTTTGTACCTAAATTTGTTAAGGACAATCTCCAACTCCTACTGTGGTTTAGGTCGGAGGAGTGCACGTTACCTTTTATGTGTGTGGTGTATACCTGAGTGTCAAGGACTACATGCATCTAAATTACCCGGACAATGTACCTAGAGTCATTGGCTGAAATGATTGGCCGCGGTATTGACCCAGAGCTATCCTCGTTCCAGTAAATTAGTTCCTTCAACCTTAGCTGCCCCATGTTTGCATCTGAAGCACAGCAGGATAAGTTAGTATGTTTTATAGAGCAGACAGGCTTAAAACCTGACACTGTAACACTCTTGATCTGAAACGAGTTGTTTAAGCCATGAACTCTGAGTGCAGAGAAATAATGATCTTCTGAGAACTCCGTGGTTCGGTGTTGGGGAGATTTTCCCGGAAGTATATTTTGCAGGCCAGATGTTAGGTTGAGAGTATCAGGTGCTATCACTAAACTTGTTGCATTGCTCCGTAGTCTTCTCACAAGACTTTCAGAATCAAGCGATTCTTGGCCAAGAAACAAAAGCAAAATCGTCCTATTCCTCAGTGGATTCGGATGAAAACCGGTAACAAAATCAGGTAAGACCCTCATGGTCCTTTCATTAGCTCTTACATAATTAGGGATACGTAGATAGCTCAGCTGAAAAAGTACATGCAGTCCCGGCCATCCTCGGCCTGTGCTGCGACTCCCTTTTGTTTTTCCTTTGCGTATGAGTCCACGTGGGGCAGCTTTCTAGAGTCACAGCTAGGCTTTGGGGGCAGATGTCCCTCCTTAAGGAGATTGGCTATCCTGGCAGCAAAACAGCTTCAGAAGAACCTAGGGTCTCCCACGGGCAAGGGAAGAGCCTTACTGGGTTCTAGCTGAGGCTTGGGAGGCAAGTGTGGGAGGGAGAAGTGGGCTTTAAGAAGTCATGACAATTTGCCAGGTAGCCATCGACAGTTCTGGTGTGTTAACACTTGTGTTGCTGTAATTTATTTTTTGTGGGGTGCGTCCCCACATGTGGTCAGAGGATGGTTTGTGGGACAGAGTTGCTTCTCTTTGACCACATGGGTTCTAGCAACTGAACTCAATTCTTCAAGCTTGATAGTAAGCACCCTTACTGGTGAAGCCATCTTGCCTGGCTGCTCTTTTGGTGGGTTTTGTTTTTTCAGACAGGGTTTCTATAGGCCAGACTGCCTCAGAAACAAATTAGGGAATGGTGGTTTTGTGGGGTTTTTGTTTTGTTTTTGAGACGGGATCTCAATATATAGATCAAGCGGCCACTGGACTCATCTCTGCCTGCCAAGTGCTGGCATGTGATTCTACTGTGGCCAAAATTGAGGATTCAGGGGCTGGAGAGATGACTCAAGTTAGGAGCACTGACTGCCCTTCCAGAGATCTGAGTTCAATTCCCATCAACCACATGGTGACTCACAACCATCTGTCAAGATCTGGTGCCCTTTTCTGGCCAGCAGGCATACATGCAGGCGGAACACTGTATATGTAATAAATAAAATGTTTTTAAAAATTGAGGGTTCATGTTCTTAGTAATTTAGCTACTTAGCTTGGAAATCAACTTCCCACACTGGCCTTACAGTCTAGTTAATTGCTGTAGAGACGTTAATTGCAGTCAGGACTAGACTTTTCAAACCTATAGTCTTTGCATACAATGCTAAGGAAATTTTTGAGGTGCTAGACAAGGTGTTTGTTTGCAACAGTCTTGTGTAGTTCAAGTTGGCCATCCTGCCTCTAGCTCCCAAGTGCTGAGATTACAGGTGTGAGCTGCCACAGTCTTTGTAAATGAACCTCAGTTTTCTAGAGCTCTAGCTGATGTGAGTAGTGGCTGCTAGTTAATACTTAGTTAGCTATTGCTGGCTCTCATGGGTGCCAGGGTTTGAACCGGGCCTCTTGCATACTCTGCTCATCAGCAAGTTCTGGACTCTAACCCTCAGCCCCTCTCCAACTTTAAGAACTTAAAGCAGGTCGCAATTACAGTGCTTCATTTTGTGGGAGTACTGCCATTATCCTGCTGAAAGAAAAGCCATGTTGATTGTTTCTGATTTTGCCTTTATGGGGGTAAAATCATGACACGTTGACATGAACACCAAACTGTTCTGTGCAACTTGGGAGCTGCTTTCTCCTACCTGAAATGTGAGTTCTAGGGGTGAATTCTGGTTACCAGGTTTGCACAGCAGGCACCTTTCCCCCCTGAGCTTTTGTGTGTGATCCACAGGAGTTCAGACTATGTGTCTATCCCATCCAGGTCTGTGGATCAGAATGGTGGGGATTTGGGGAGAAAGTTTTTCCTACTTCTCCCTTTCCACTTAAATTATCTGAACCTGCTCTGTAATGCTGGGGTTTGGACCTGAAGTTCCCCCAAATGCTTTTTGTGGTTTAAGGTTGCCTACCCGTGAGAGTAGCTAGGGCTGGTAAGCTTAATACAGTTTTTTGTTTTGTTTTGCTCCTTTATTTGAGACTAACCTTTCTGTGAAGTCCAGGCTGGAATTAAAGGGGCCGCACCACTTTTTTAAAGTTGCCCCAGCCCCATACATCAATGACATGTGTGTAGCATTCTGGAGATGGTCTTGCTGTGTAGGCCTGACTGTCCTGGAACTCTCTAATAAGCTCCTTATCCTATTCTCTAAAAGGCCAAATCTGGTAAATAAAGTTATATTGTGACCATGCCGCCTTGTAACTTGTGGATTCATCCTATGCAGGTACAACTCCAAGAGAAGACACTGGAGGAGAACCAAGCTGGGCCTGTAAGGATTCACACAATCAATGGCAAGAATTGAGAGTTTGCACTGAATCATGGTCAACGCAAGCAAAGCTACCAGATGACGCTTAACATTTTTGACCTGGAGATTTGGTCATATATTTAAGTTGGGAATGATTTGTCCAGTAATAAAAAATATTGAGCCTTTCAAACTGCTCTTCTGGTTTGTAAAGTACTGTATTTCCCTTTCCCCTACCAGACCAAGTAAGCTGCTGCGTGCGTGCGTGTGTGTGTGTATAGAATTGTTCTGGGAGCTGGAGTTAGTGAGTGCTTGATATTCTTGCAGAAGTCCTGGATTTGGGTCACCTCAGGGCCACCTGGGGTGCTGCATACATAAGTCTCTTGGTTTTTTGAGACAGGGTTTCCCTGTGTCGCTTTGGAGCCTGTCCTGCAACTTGATCTGTAGACCAGGCTGGCCTGTCTCTGCCTCCCGAGTGCTGGGATTAAAGGTGTGTGCCACTAATGCCCTGCTTAGATAAGTTTTTTTGAGCCTTAATCAAGGCTAGAGAGGTTGCTTAGTGCTTAGCACTCTGAAGGGCCAGTTTGGTTGGCTCCCAGCACCCACATCAAGTGACTCACCATGCTAAGCGGCTTTAGAGAGCCCAGCATTGGTGGCACAGGAGCCAGCACTCAGAAGACAAGAAGCAGGTGAATTGAGTTCCAGGACAGCCAGGGCTGTTAGAGAAACACTGTCTCAAAAAACTAGCCAAACCCCCAAACAGTTCGAGAAGATTAAATACCTCTGGCTTCAGGGTACTTACAAATTATGCAAACAGATACAAATAATTTAAATAGCCAGGCATGGTGGCACACCTTTAATTCCAGCATTCCAGATGCAGGTGTGTATCTGATTTCAAGGCCAGCCTGATCTACATAGTGATTTCCAGGACAACCAGCATTATTACATTATTTAAAATTTTTTTCAGGGGCTGGAGAGATGGCTCAGCGTTTAAGAACACTGGCTGCTCTTCCAGAGGACCTGGGTTCAGTTCCCAGCATCCAATAGCAGCTCACAACTGTAACTCCAGGTCCAGGGGATGGTGCAGATACAAAAAAGCCCAGATAACACAGGATACCCAGTTAGGTTTAAATGTTAAACAGTGGGCAATTTAAATTTTTTTCAGAGGAGGTTGAGGACAGTCCTGACAACCTGGGAGGTGAAATGACAAGGCCAATATAACACTAAAGGCATATATCAGCTTTGTCTTGAATAGGATGGTGGGAGAAATGGAAAATGATCTGGTTGCACGATGTTGACCATCTGGAAAAGGCAGCACCAGAATGGTGGTTGAGAGTTAACTGGGTTTAAAATGAGCTGTAAACCTCTGTAGATTGGAGCCTCCACTGAGTGCAGAAGAGGCCTGACAATGCTCAAAGTGCTTGGTTTAATTGTAGGATTTTGTTGCTTGTCTGTAGCCTTTGATGTCCTGGAACTCTGTAGACCAGGCTAGCCTCCAACTTCAGAAATCCGCCTGCCTATGCCTCCCTAGTTTGGGATTAAAGGTGTGCCGTCATTACCACCACCCAGCAGGACTTTTTTTCTAGATGATCTCACTATGTAGCACTGACTGGTCTCAAACTCATAAAGATTTAACTGTCCCTGCCTTCTGAGTGCTGGGAGTGTGTCACCACACCCAACCTGCTGTAGAATATTTAGGGCATGAGTAGATACTTGGGGTTTTAACTCCCTCCCTCAGCAGTATATGCTACATACTGGATAAGCAACCCCAGATAGTGGAAAGAGGGTTTTTTTTTTTGGTTTTTTGAGACAGGGTTTCTCTGTATTGTTTTGGAGCCTGTCCTGGAACTCACTCGGTAGACCAGGCTGGTCTCAAACTCACAGTGATCCGCCTGTCTCTGCCTCCGGAGTGCTGGGATTAAAGGCGTGCGCTGCCAACGCCCGGCTAGAAAGAGGGATCTTTCGATGGGAGTCGATTCAAGAAATCAGAAGGTGTTGGGACCTTCCCATTCCAGGGTTCTAACTCAAGAGTTTGCTTGCAGAAGGCAGGGTGACATGAGAAAAAATATTCTGGGTGTTGCATTCACACCTGGTGTTTAATCCCAGCTCCATCTCTGAAACAGTTGTGACATTTGCTCTCTCAGGAAATAAAATCCCCTGGGTGTGGTGCTCATACCTGCAACCCTAACACTTGAAAGGCTGAGTTAGGATTGCTATCTGCTGAAGGCCATCTTGGGCTATGAAGTGAGGTCCAGGTCATTCTGAACTTCAAAGAAAGATTAGCTCAGTTGCTAGTACTTGCCTAGCATGTGAGTAAAGTCTTGGGTTCAGTCACCAGCACCACAAAAAGCGGGAGTGCTGGTGCACATCTGGAGTCCCTGAAACTGGACTTAAAAGTGGGTGTGAGCTACCTGATGGTACTGGAAGCTGAGCTCTAGTCCTCCACAAAGCAGAATGCACAGGGTCAATTCTAACAGCCAAGGCTCCCATTTTACAGATGAGAAGAAAGGTTAAACTATTCTTTTTTTTTTTTTTTGGTTTTTTGAGACAGGGTTTCTCTGTGGCTTTGGAGGCTGTCCTGGAACTAGCTCTTGTAGACCAGGCTGGCCTCGAACTCACAGAGATCCGCCTGCCTCTGCCTCCCAAGTGCTGGGATTAAAGGCGTGTGCCACCAACGCCCGGCTAGGTTAAACTATTCTTGCTCATGGCAATTACATTTTTTTTGAGACAGGGTCTCATGTATCCCAGGATTGTTTAGAACTCATTATGTAGCTAAGAATGGCCTTGAAACTCCTGGTGCTCCTGCCTTCATGTTCCAAGTGCTAGGGTTACATGTGTGCCACCATTCTGAGTTTATAGCTACTCATTAAGTGCTTGGATCATGCTAGGCAGCTGTCAGCAGTGCTTAAAATAAGAACCCTGTTGAATACATTTTGTAAATTCTTGGAGATACTGGTTGGGGTATTAATAACTTATACTTCTGCCAGGTGATGGTGGCACATGCCTTTAATTCCAGCACTTAGGAGGGCCAGCAGATTTCTGGATTTGAAGGCAGTCTGTTCTACAGTGTGAGTTCCAGGACAGCCAGAGCTACACAAAGAAACCCTGTCTAGGAAAGAAAACAAAAATATTTTTTATACTTCTATGATGACATTTTCTTCCGGAGTGATTATCTAAAAAAATACCATCAAACCCCTAGCTACACAAAGCTTTGAGTGGACAACCAGCCCCAAGTGTGAAATGCAAGGGTACCACAGTCAAGACTACGCATGACTCTGTGTTTGGGTAGAGGAAATGAAGTAGTCAGCCAAGAAAATTAATTAAACAAAGGCTATGGTCTGGCACAGTCAACCCATGAGGGTGATTTTGCAGACAGTTCTGGTTGTAGCTGGGAGGGGTTGCCACTAATAGCATCCACCAGGGATGCTTTTAAACATGCTGCAACTTGCATGGGTTAGTCCTCAACAGAATTCTCCTGCTCCAAATAGCAACAATGCCAGTACTGAGAAAGTCTGTTCCCACAGCACTACCCTGCCGGCCAGAGTGAGCTCTGCCAGACACAACTCACCCCTGCCTCTGCTTTCACAGTGCTCTCCTGACAAGCTCATTCCCTGAAATGACGCAAAAGGAGGCCATTTCCAATCTCCTCTACTTCCTAGCTGGGTTCAGGCACATGGATCTGTCCCTCACAGTACCAGCTGCCACTTCCTCTTCACTTTCTAACTCCAGACTGTTCAAGTGGCAACTTGCTTTATATGTCCACAGGAGCATGTATGTCTCCTTGAAGTTCCCTTCCATTCCAGTCAGGGTTACCTCTTCAACCAGCTTCTCCATTTATTTACCTCGCAGCTGTGATTGTAACCTTGCAAGTGGGATTGAGTCATTGATGTCTGCCCTTTTCACCAGATTATGAACTCTGCAGGATAGACACAAGGGGATGGCTTGCACTCCAATGTTTGTTTTTTTTGTTTTTGTTTTTGTTTTTTTTTGGTTTTTTGAGGCAGGGTTTCTCTGTAGCTTTTGAGGCTGTCCTGGAACTCACTTTGTAGACCAGGCTGGCCTCGGACTCACAGAGATCCACCTGCCTCTGCCTCCCGAGTGCTGGGATTAAAGGCGTGCGCCACCAAAGCCCGGCCAATGTTTATTTTCACATAGCAGCATCTAGTAGAAGAAGCTACTCAGTTGTTTGAACAAGCAGAAGAATGAATGGGAGTGTGGATGAATGAAGAGAAGAGCTTGCAAGTGAGCCACAATATAAAATGTGTGCATCACCAGGCGGTGGTGGCGCACGCCTTTAATCCCAGCACTCGGGAGGCAGAGGCAGGCGGACCTCTGTGAGTTCGAGGCCGGGCTGGACCGATAGGCTCCAAAACAATACAGGGAAACCCTGTCTCGTAAAAAAATAAAAATAAATAAATAAATAGAATGTGTGCATCAATGCATATGTATACAATGGATAAAGTAGCAGTCATTTTTAATTATTTGAGACAAGGTCTTGCTACATTACCCAGACTTGTGTCTTTTTCTTGGACTCCAGTGATCTTCATGAGTCGGCCTCCCCAGTAACAACAGTAGCTGGTAACACAATGCACCACCACCATGCCTGCTTGCAGTCTTTATGAATAACTGCAGATGTGAACATTATTGAACATATCTTTTGCTCAATATGTGTCTATATTTCATAATGTGATTCAGTTTTCATTTTTATATTTCCCGCGTCATATGCACATGATGACATGGTGTTTTATTACAAAGAAATTATATTTTCCATGATGAGCAGGCATTTATTTTTAATTTTAAATGCTTTGTATGTGTTTGCGTGTATGACGTGTGCTGTGTGCTGGTGTCCATGGAGGCCAGAAGAGAGTGTCAGATCCCTTAGAGCCATAGGTTGTAAGCTGACTGATGTGGATGCTCAGAAACAAACCTGAGTCCTCTAGAATGTAGATGCTGACAAACCTGAGTCCTCTGGAACCACAAGCATTCATTTTTATTTTTATTTTTTGAGACAGGGTCTCTCTATGTGATCCTCTTGTCCTAGAGCTCAATATATAGACCAAGTTGGCCTTGAACTCACAGAGATTCTCCTGGCTTTGCCTCCTAAGTGATGGAATTAAATATTTACATGGCCATGCCCTACTCAGTGTACTCTTGATTTTGAAGCAGCTGTGATTGCTTTCTTTTTTTTTTTTT